TAGTTTCTTTTATTTTTTTTTTGTAATTGCAATGTGACGATTGGAAGAAAGTTGGAACGATAAGGTGTTGTAGCACTAGGGTAGCATGTCTGGCTAAGACGACGGAGGTCATGGGTTCGAGTCTCCATTTGTTTGAGATTCCTTTTTTTTCTTTGAATTGTAATTTCTAAATGACTTACGTCAGTATTGTGGTATTTACGTTGATATAGCAATTGTTTATTGCCAATGTTTTTGAATGTGCATAGTGCTAAATGAATTTCTTTAATAATTTCCCAGAGAAACATTTGTTACCTTTCTAATTGAAAAAAGAAGACATCAGGCAGTTTTAGTGTTAATACATTCGCATAGGAACATTACAAAATTCTATCCAGCACCATACAACTACTCATAACAAATATTCTACCCTTGCACATTATTCCAAGCAACTATTAGTTTCCAATCGTCAAAAGCAAAAAAGTATACCGCAATACTTATCTCACACGTTATCGCCAGACTATAAGCCCTATCGATAAGTCATTAATAATTGCAATCACATCGACACAAATAACATCACAACAATAAAGCGCGAGTTATTTCCAGACAACGATCCAAAGAAGAAAAAAGAATCCCAAACCGTGGAGACTCGAACTTACGACCTCCACCGTCACAGCCAGAGACGCTACCCCGCTACAACACGCAACCCCAATCGTCCAACCCCTAATTACAGTATGAAACATAACCCTTTGCGGACGAAGATTCTTCGAAACGTATGAAGCTAAATTCTATATCAATCGCTTAATTAATAGAACAAAAGATAACTACGTGTCTCTCGTTGTTCGACTAATTAGATCATTGTTCCACGACTTAGTCTTCCAAACCACACCTCGTCTCACTGAAATGTCGACATCCGTTCGCAAAGGTTAAGGGGTGTTTTCACCTGATTAAAATGAACGTCGGTTAATAAGAATATTTATGAAATATTCATGAAATATTCTCTTGAGAACTATGTGAAATTTCTCCACGACAGTCTTCCAAACCTGAACGTTTCATCCCACCGAAATGCCATCCGTCCGCAAAGGGTTAACCTTTTGCGACCGAAGATTCTCTGAACTATACAAAACCTTTTATAGATTCTGGCAAATCACACATCGAATGCCTAAATAACATGAAACAAGGAAATTAGGTACCGGTTTCTTGCTGTCTGAGCAACTGAATCATTTGCAACTTAGTATCATAAACATGAAAGTTCGATCTCGGTAAAGCGTCGACATCCGTCCGCAAAGGGTTAAACCTCGTTTCCCTCTGGAACGGAGCACCATCGTCGAAATCTCGACAAGGGTGTCGTTCCTAGAACTCCGACACGCGCAGCGTTTCATTGAAACCGATTTTTCCGTGAGGCCCCGATCCCCCGCGCGGCCGCGTGCGTCGTCTTCGCGTCGTCTTCGCGTCGGCGATCCGTCGAAATTGGGTCGGGAAACCCTCGACCGCGTCGTGCCTCGTCCCCCCCGGCCCCCCGCCGCCCCTCCGTCGAACGTCCAACGACGAGAATCGCTGACAAATGGAACGACGCCAGCGTTACCGCGGGACCCCCGAGACGGAACGAGACGACGACGACGACGACAACGACAACGACGACGGCGGGGACGGGGCCGAGTGGGGGTGGATACGAACGAAAGCTCGCCCATCGACGCGTAGATCGGTGCAAAGATTTTTCCGTGGCGCGTGGCGGGAGGCGCGCGCGCGAAGGACGAGAGAGGCGAGGGAGGAGCGCCGCGAGCGGCGAGGAGCAAGGTGCGAGAGGCGTGTCCGGTAGAGCTCCGCTCGTGACTCCGATCCATCCAGGGCCTCTTGTGTCACTTTTGGCTATTTATAGACGACCGCTCGATATGATGTACCGACGTTATTTTTAGCGGCTTACCTAGCTACAGCCCTTTCACCCCCCTTCGAAATAGCAGCAACGTAGACGCGAGCGGGAACCGAACGACTCTCGCCTCGCCTAGCCTCGTC